AGTCTTTTCTTAGCATCAGGTGAAGTTTTCTGAAAGCTGTAGTATTTTTAAGCGAAATGTTGAACTCAAGGAATAATTGGGGATTGGCACTGCATCATTTCTTACATGTGAAAAAAGAATATGGAGGAAGGGTTTCTAGTAAAAGTACTTGAAACTTAGTGAGGAATCTAAATAAAAAGCAATTATCAGCTCTATATTCCATCTTCAGAGAAAACTTATTTAAAATGCACATTAGAGATGTCTGACCAGAAACTCAGAAACAGTACACTTCCTTAATTCATGAGTTTGCAACACTACTACAACAAGTTCACATCTTCTTGTTTCTCAGTATCTGTATTTATTTACATCACATACAGAGAACAGGCGAATTTCAGAAATTCAGAACTTGATCTAGAGAAGTCCAACCTCCTTGCTACAGTGGACACTGTAGAGTAACAAGATTACAATAAGAGTCCAAACTTCCTTAACTATCTTTGAGAAAAGCTCCCCAGCTTGGACATTCTCCTGGTTGACAATTCCTTGCTCTAGCACAGAATGTCTGAAATCAGTAAAGAAGCGCCCCTGTCCGTGGTGCTTGGCCAAAATACCATGGCACCAGGGATATGGCTGTGCTTGCTATGGGTGGGGAGCAGCCAGTTACAAAACATGAATCAAAACCAAAAGGGTCAGAAAACAAGCTGAAAACAAAATAAACAGCTATTCAAAAAGAGACAGCTATACTGCCTGACAAAAAGCAGAAGACCCACATTGTTGCCAGCAAGGATATTGCAAAGTCATCTCCAGAACTGAGTCTTGATGAAAAGGTTAAGTATGCTTTTGTTCCAGGAAAAAAGGGGACAACAACAGAGTTAAAGCAACATTTAATACTTGGTATCATTGTTTGATACGAAGTCTGCTAGGTAGAACTGCCAGTGACAATGTATCTTCATCCCACATAAGGCTATCCATCACTGCTCAGTGAGGGATCACTGGATACCTGTAACAGTTGTTAACCACGGGAGTTACCCTGTTCTAGCAGCATTGCTTCTGCCTGGATGGTTTCCAGAACAGGCAAATAGCAAGCAAGGATCTTACTTACTGAGGTTACACAAAGTCAGGTCCTTACTCTGCGTGCAGACTTGTCCTACTGCATAAACAAAGAGCATTCATGGTCTGCTACTCTTCTTCACAGGGGGTTTCTGATGATTCCTTTTCAAACCCAAACATTAGTATGTCTTATCCACCATGTGGCTTATTACTGTCCTTATATAATTTGAAAAACAGTACATGTAGCAATGCCATACACTAGCAATTGCATGAGCCTATCACAAATCTTGCTGTTTTCTCTGAACTACACAAACTAAATGAAAAAGCAAGTCTTCCAAATCAGAAATCACAAAAAGCCCCAAAAGAATGCTGGAAGAGAACTCTTACTGGAATAGGAAACAAATTATACCTTTGCAGTTGCATCTCTAGTTACTGCCAAGACACGTACACCGTATTCTATTGTTGAGTCCTCTGTAATGCACACTACAACTTTGCTTGTTTTTAGAGGGGTTCTGCCTCTGACAGCAACTTTAAATTGGGGACTAAACACGAGCAGCTTCTCAGGTTTGAGAGGATGTGAGAAGTAACAATTCTCCAAGTCTGGCCAACATCTTCCCAAAGTATAAATTATAACAAACAACATAGAATTGGCACTAATAGAGTTCACACAGCAAAGCAAGATAACTGTAAAGTCCCTACACTACAGACTAACAGCAGAAACCACTGAAACTAATAGAAAAATATAATCTGAAATTCTACTTAAGCTTACCATTAAAAGATTACATTATAATGGGAAGATGAATTGCAGATGACCTAAATGTTTTGGGAGAGGTATAAAGGCAAACAGGAAGATGAGCACCATTTGGCAACCTGCGATTTCCTACAGCAAGCTTTTTGTTCACTTGCTTTACAGCAGGTTATTTTCACATTGTGAAAAAGTACAATGACTTATCTCAAGTATAATGATTTATCTCACATACTGAGGTCTGTTTAAAAAAACAGTATCTCTATCTTGTCCATACAAACTACTTGCACCATTACATTGCAGAACTCTTAAAATGGGAAACAAGAAAATACTTGTTCTCCAAACTTGACAGTTGAGGTAAAAAGGCACTTTAAGTCAGAGGAGGCTTACTGTGCACACATCTCAACTGCAGTACCTCCAGTCAAACAAAGGTATAACGCTGCCAGATCACAAGGATTGTTCTCACCTATAGAATGGGTTATAAATGACTTGTTTCTCTTTATTGAGAAAATAATTTAATTTTAGGTTCCAAAAAAGGACATTCTTACAAACCAGAACACAAACTCAAGCTACTGTTGTATTATTGATTAAACCTAGCCTAACAGCACATGGCATTGTTTCAAGTAGACCATTTGGAAAAGAACACATGGAGGCATCGTAGGACTTTCTTTAGATACTATGAGTTGGGCGAGCATTCATGAAAAATATAAAATGATTTAGTTGGATTTCCAACCCTGTCCATCGTTCCTGAAGCCAACAGAATCATTGTGTAATTAAGCAGATTTCTGTGAAGAGCTCATAATGGTTCACCATGCTTTAACAACATGTGTCAGAAAAGCTGAAGAAAAAGTTTCTAGATTGAAGAAAAAATTCAGAAATGCATTCTGAATATCAAGCACATTAGAAAATCTGAAAACTGATAGCAATATTTAACATTAGTGGCCAGAGAATTAGTCTTCAGTATTTCACAGCATCAAAAGTATCACACCTCATTAGTAAGAAGCTTGACCACATATTCTTCTCAGTTTTAAAATAAAAAAGCATATGAGCATGTGGTATGCATAACAATTACTGCTCTCATGAAACATATTACAGCCCCATTAATATACTATAAGACCTACGAAACATTTCATGTACAAGTTTTTTTTAACCAAATGCATCGTGTACAGAATTGTGTTCAGTGAGAAAAAAAATGAAGAAAAGTTTCCTGAGAAATTGCAGAAGACTAATATGTTCATAATAAACAGTACAGGTTCAAAATAATTCTACAAATATGTTTTATTGTTTATATAAGTTTTTAACACATATACCCTCAAAAGTGGAAGTTCACCACTTTATAAGAAAGTTATGTCACTGAGGCTACACACAGAATGCTGTAATAAACATTATTATAAAAAGACATTTAATTATTGGAAAAGTAGACTACAAGCAAAAAAAAAGAAACTGATAATTAAGGACAACAATGACATCTAGTGGACACTCACAAAACAGGCCTATAGACTACTGAGAAAAATACATTGTTTTTACTGTTAAACTTACTCAAACTCCCAAACAGCTACGATGTTATTAAGATTAAAAGACAGAATATGCAGTTGATGAAAGACACCTCAAGTAGTGTCATTTCATATCAGAAGAATACTTCAAAAGAGTGCAAGGCTCTTCCATTTAAGATTTAGGATAAAAGCATAATTACCCATAACTTGAAAGAACAGCACAAATCTGAGAAAGGAAATAGACTGCCAACATAGTGAAGGCACGTTAAGCTTTCTTTCCGCACTGCAGCTATAGCCTTCTACTTACAAGTTGTTCTTGTAGGGACTTCAAACACAGAAAAACAAGAAGGGAAACAAAAAGCAGAGAAGTCCAAATTCAGACCACTGTTTAATACCTCCTTTTTCTAGTTATTACTGATCCTTCTGTTATTGTAATACCTGCCATATAAGGGAGGTATGCTAAACCTTCACAATACAGCTGCCAGTAGCAGCTGAACTCCAGGGACGAGGAAGATGAAACATGAGGTCACTATAACTCAAAATTATCAAAAGATACTTGCTCATAAGTAACCTGATTAGTTTACAAGGCAAACTCCCATAAAGATATGAATTATTTGAAATCTGCCTTTACTATTTACAAAAGGCTAGTACACTAAACAGTTAAAGCAACTCGTATCTGATCTTAGTTTTTTCTTCAAAGAAATTTTCTTCTGGCTAGAAGCATCATTGTGGAAAAACACTGTTGACTATTATCTCTTGTAAATAAGAAGAATGTTAATGATTAAAATATTATAGCATCAAATACCACACCTAGTGAGTAGAAACTGGATTTTGCATCTTATTGTTACAATAAAAATATTGCACACTTCCCAAAATTCGTGTATTTCAGTGACTGCCCGCTACAAGAAAGCGGTGAGAAAGATCAAAAACAATACTCAGAAGTAAAACATCATTTATGTACATATCTAACTGTAATACACAACTCTTTAATTGTAATTAAACTTTCAATTTAAATTGAGAATTGTTTGCTTATATTATTATTTTGGAAGAGTTAACATTGCAATCTACCTAGCCCCACAATCAACAGTAGCTAGAGTCAGCTATCAGGAAATAAATAACAAATTCTCACTTATATGAAGATTCTTTACCTAATAGAATACAAAGAAAACTTTGCATAACTGATGAGGAGGAGGAGTTGCCCTGCAATTTCTTCTTGCCAGGGCCTCAAAATGAGCTTTGAAACAGACATTACTAGTTAATGAGAATAAATGCAGCCTCCCAGAAATTAAATCTAACTCCAGACTGACACCAAAGATATTTATGCACCATCCAGAGCCACAACTAAAGTCTGTATTTTAAATTCATGAAAAGAATTTGAATTCCTGCTTTCCCCCACCTTTAAAGTCTAAAATTGCAAGTATTTAGAAGCTGAGTCTCCCTTTGGTTGCTTTGTTCCAAGCATAGGCTTTCCAGACACTAATTCTAAAGAATCCTATTTTGCAAAATCCCACTCTTTATTCCATTACTGGATCTACATATGAACCCTGTTATAACTATGTTGGTAGTCGCGCCTGACAAAAACAGAAACCAACCTAACAATTTTACAAAATAAGAAAGTAAAAGCAAACACCAAAATCAACCCAGATATTTCCTCCAAGAACAATGCCATTTCACCTCCAAAAACATTTCACGCATAGAGAGGACTACTTTAAGAGAGTGAAATACCATTGACCTACCCGAATTTCCTGGAGATTATGAAAGTTATTTCCTACTCTGACAGAGATTTTGCTTGGAGTGTAACTTTCATCAGATTTGTAGTCTGCATAAATACATAAGGTCTTCACTGTTGTTTTTCTCCTGCAAGAAGAAAAGAAACAATGTAAGCATCCTAAAGAAAAACATTCAGGAAGAGTTTGTTGTTATTTTGTAGTAAAATCTGAATGTTTTAAAACTTAATATAAAAGTGCGCCTACTGATTTATAAGAACCTTGTTGTTAAATCAACAGATTTTCTTCATGCATTAGATAACGCACACATAATAGATTTTCACTATTATCCTTCAACTGTCTTCTGAACTTGCATTATACCAAGAACTACAACAAAAGGTCAAAATGCCAAATGCAAAATGCCACTTATATGTGATGAAACATATGCTTCGCTTATCAAATATGGGCTCTACTACTATACCAAAAGAATCGTCAAGGTGACTCAAAAAGCCAGTCTTGTCAATCACAGCAGAATAAAACAGGAAAAGGTTTCTCAGACAATCAGTTGCTAAATACAGGACTGCTTTAAACACAGTCAGCTACCCTTCAAATCACAGTCTATGACAGAAAAAGTCAAGATTCAAATGTCACCCTATGTAGGTAAATGTGAAACTGCTACAAATGGAATTAAAGATTCCTTTTTGTGGCTCATTTAGGGATTCAGTAGCGATAACAATTTAAAAAAAAAAAAACACTTTTTTTCATGAACACTGTAAGGTAACACAGGACTAGTCCAAGAGTGCACGCACTTCCCAAGTCCCAGTCTTGGTGAACAGTCATCCACACAAAGTTAAGCGAAACATTCTAACGCATACAGAGTAATTTTTAATACCTAAACTGGATGTTCACCAAATGAGGCTGCGATCCATCTGACTGCCAGTAAGTTTCTAGATTATCATCTCTTAACTGATCCACTCCAAATCCTAAGAAAAAGAAAAGGTGATAATCTTGAATATTCTTTATCTGTGATATAATCACAGACTTTTTTTTTTTACAGCTTTTACAAACTAAAACACATTTTAAACTATAACATAAGGAAATACTTCTAAAGATTCAAGTTGTTCTTGTGACAGAACTAAAACAGGTGTCTGTCAATAAAAACGCAGTGCTACAGTGCCTTTATGTTCTATCTCTTATTGATATCTGGGGGGTGGTTGTTACCTTTCAACATGTCCTGGAATTCCAAACGTGAAGAAATAACTCATAATTGCAAGAACAATACTTTATGATTTCTACCTATTCTATAATTGAACTAATGAATTACATGAAAAGCGTAGACTCATTAAGGTTGGAAAAGACCTTCAAGATCATCTGGTCCAACCACCACTAACAGATCATTCAATTATTACAAAATTTTAGCAAATATAACTTATTTTTTACAAGCCATTTCTTGGAATATTTTTAAAGTTAGTAGCTAGAACAAGCAATAGCTGCCAAAACCAATATTCATAAAAGCTGTCACATTTAAAGAAACAACTCTGAACATTTATTTTTCCATTCCCTCATTACCTACCCTTCTACTAATCACATCATTAATAACTGCCCTCAAAAGCTGCAGTTTTAATTTAGCAGAGGCAGTTTTATCTTCAATAAGAAATCTTTGTTCCATTTGAAGTGACAGAGGCATATGATGTTTTTCTTCAAATAAGAGACACCAGGACATCAGACCAGCCTGAGTGCAATGTTGCAGTATGAAGTGATCACTGACACTAGGCTGCAGCTAGGTATCAGATCAGCACTCAACAGCTGTTTCCGAAATAGCAGCTCAACCACTTCAAGTGAAAAGAACAGATTTGTAGATATTTTGAGCAGGTGTAAACTATCACTAATGATATCTCAGCAACATTTACAATGGCTTCATTTTACTTGCAGGATTTTAGAGAGCTACACAAAGTCTGGATGGAATATTTATGTTGGCTAACTGCATGGATTGTTTGTCTGACTTAAAATCAAAGATACTTACTTGGTCAATGCCAAACTACAGAAATAATTACACAGTGCTTACACAGTTCAGTTTGTTCACTGAACAAGTAAAAATACGGTTTAGTTTAAAATCAGCAAAAGCTCTGTTTTGCTAATGTGACATATTTCTTAATTTTAGGGTTTCTAATATAGTTATAACTCTTTCAAATTGCATCAAACTAGGCAATTTTTTTTTTAATGACACCCTCCTCGTAATTTACATTACAGCAATTCTACTGCTACACTCTGCATGTATGACTTCTTATCAAAACATAACCCATTACATTTTCTAAGAACAATTTACATAGAATCATACATTGTGATTCTACCTGGTTTACAAGATGAAAGTGACCAAACTGCTTGTGATCCTATTTCTCTAACAGTACCAGTCCTCTCCAATTGCTTTGGATCAGCACCAGGTGGTGTCTTGTTTGGGGTAGTCATTTCTAATAAAAAAAACAAGCAAACAAGTTAGTTGACATATTTTAAGGCTGATGGGAAAACTAAAGGATTGTATTTGTTCATATAGAAGATTTAATTCTTTGACCTCAAACTTGTATAAACCATATGTTCTATAAACTATCATAGATTCAATATTTAAATCTTGTAAATATGAGGTTCCACATACATGCAAAAAATTGTCTGTGTAAAAATAGGTTGTACACTGGAAACATTCTTAAGTTACATTACTTGTATCATTCTTTACACAAATACAGAATTAGTTATTGTTTCATTTTGGGGGTTTTAGGAAGTTTTTGTTTCCAAGCGAAATGGAAACAGACTCTTTTGATTTAAAGGCTAGCACTACAATTTCATTTTCTGTCCTAGCACACACACAAGTTTTCCTAATCTCCAAGTTCAGAGTCTAGAGCAAACCAGTCTTCCTTGAGACACTTCTTAAAAATAGGAAAGGAAAATTTGAATAAATAATTTAGTCCTTTATTTGGAAGAGACAGGTCATTGCCACATGTATCCATGGTCCATTTACTTAACTTCACAAGTTCATCCGGAATCAGTAACCTGTGACTTACACTGCTCAAGTAATCATTCAGTCTCACACCTGGCCTACTGCCATATAGAAGTTGTTGTTCTTCATGTCATGTAGAGGCCCTTACTACTGCCTAGGAAATAGCTTTAAAGGCTTCCTTTCCCAGCCCCCCCCCACCAAAAAAAAAAAAAAGGATTCCAAAGAAACAAATTCCATGCAAGGAATCAAAAGCCTAAGACTAAATGTAAAGCACTCAAGAGTCAATGAATTAGACTTGACTTCTAATCCTTTGCTTATATGCATGACAGCATATTATGCTCTGCTAAATCACAAAAAAAAAAGACTTCCAGCACCCCACCTAGACAGAGATTCTGAATTAGTTTGATATCCACAGAATCCAGACCTTACCCACTACAGAAGCAATACAAGCCATAGACAAAAACAGTATTTTCCAATATAAGAATATTTCTGCAGCTAAAAACTTTATTGAACACCAGAAATTTGAGTTCTGTAGTATATATTGGTCTGCACCAAAGATTTTCTATTGGCCTTTGCCTAATGCTTAATTTTGCAGAGTTGAGAATGACTACCAGTTTTTTTGTTTATGACTCATTCAGATATAAGATTGCAGTCCTGATCACCATTAAAAAAAATTAAGAAACAATTACATATGTAGTAAAACCTTAGCATTGATAACAGCAACTGTTGCAGAAGACCACAAACAAAATGCCTTGATCAAATATCATCATCTTGGAAAAAAATGAGTAGAATGCTACACATCCAATCCAATCCCAAATATCCTGTATATGCTCGTATAATTCACAGATCTACAAATTCTAAAAACATCACAAAGTTTTCCTACAAAATTTGTGTTCAAAAGCTAAACAGTATTAAGAAAAAATGAAATGGACAAACCATTTAGCCACTAGCTAGACACTAACAGAAATCTTTGCTCCCCGTTGTATTTAAGTATTGTGTTATCCTTTTTAAAAAAAAAAAAAAACTTATCAGATGTTTATTGAGTCTTTAAAATGTAGCTGTGCTCTGATGAGTTGGCTACACTGCAAATCCAATGGGTTTTCATGTCTAGAACAGATCATAGACCATAGCAGAAAATAATATACTCTAGTAGCTTCTTAGGACAACTTTGCTTTATATTTACTGATAGCAACTTCAATCAAATACAGTATTACAAATATTCTTTTGAGAATTTAAAACTGTCTTGGAAAAAGTTATGTAACACTTAGTTTGGGGTTATCTGAAAAATAAACATTTTTGTCCCAATAACCAAAACTCAAGTTATCTTTATTAATCATCGAAGAGACTACATTTATTTTCTTAAGAACTTTAAAACTCAAATCACCTATTTGTCCAAAGTGTTCAGAATCCCTGAATGAACAGCATGTTGAGATTTCTTACAAGGTTTAGGGCACACAGAGAAGTTCTAGACAACTTTGTATTGCTTTGGTTCAGAGTTTTGAGGTGTACATGCTGGGGATCTGAAACAGACAGTGAGAATCACTGACAAATCAGTCACAGATCACAGACAAGTGATAATGAAAGATTGAAAACCTTCAGCGTGTGAACTAATCAGTTGGACTAATCCAGTCAGTTTTTCATGACTGAAGCTGTTTAACCAGCTTTGTAACAATACATTCTAGATAGCTTTGCTGAAGCTTCCTAATAAAAAGAAGTTTAAAAGCAAGAAAGGCAATAGAAGTACAAGGGAAAATAATACAAGCCAACTCACTCAAAAAAAAAAACAACAACACTTTTTGACATTTTACTAGAAGTACAAATTCCTTATTTTGGGAAAGACACAAATAGTTACTACTAAAAATAAAACCACACTTGCATTTGAATTAAGTCACCAAATTATAAAAAAAAAAAATCTTAGACTGAGAAGACAATGGAATGAGAAGAACACAATGGTGTTTTTTTTTTCCCCCCAAGCTCTGGAGAAAATAAGCAGTCTGTCTAGAAGCCTTTCTACTTAGTATGTGCTAAAAATTTAAAGACATATCGCATCCATAGAGGCATTGGCTGGAAACATCTTCAATTTTCCAATCCAGTTATTCCAAATGATCATCAGTAGGCTTGCCGTTTCTTTAATTGCAACGTGAACATATTATTAACTCAATGATATAATCAATGTCACACTTTCATTTTGCTGCTCTCCAGTAGCAAAGTATGCTTCCTTTAATTAAAACAAGAAAGCTGAGCTTCTTAACCCAACCTGAACTCTATCCCTCAGCATCTTCCTTAGAAAAGTTAGCTCTTTCCTGGAGGACCTCCGCATGAAATAACCATTAAACCCAATTTAACAGAAGTATTTCATAAACACAGCGAAGTGGATTTAGATGGTTCAAGCATTCTACCATTCATAATCAAAGCAGATAAGTCATTCTGATTATAGCACTGTAAGACACTTAAAAGATGCACACCTGAAAGCAAACCTTTCACAAAACATACACTCTTGCATCACATTGAAGAGGGGACAGAGGATACATTTTGACCCTTTCTTTTCATACCCAAGCTCAATGAAAATTTTGCAGATTGTCAAGCAGACTTCTCAAAGTACAATTTCTAATTCCACCATGTTAGTACAGAAAGGCTTAAAACGCACATCTATAAGGATCTTTGACAGACCAGACTATAACCATCAGACATCTGTCCAGCCATTCACATTCCTCTCACAGAGCCAGCTTCAGTATTTTATCTCCTTGCAAACACAGTTTCTGCTTTAACATCCAACCCATGTTATCTTCTTAAAAACAAGCATGATTTCTTCTCTTGTTTTACAGAGAACTCAAGGACTAGTTTATCACTAACACTTACGTAAAAAACTTTTTTTTTTACCCAAATTTACTTTGTTTCCTTTCTAGAAGAGTGCCTATGCCACTTAGCTTTCTTGAAAAATGAAGTCTTGCAAAACAAATATTTTTGCAGGGTCTAAAAGATCTACATACTATGGTTAAAAAACAATGGCATACCATTTTAACAAAGGTTCTTACTCAAATAACATCATATTGTTAATATTTCATTTACTACACAATACAGCATTCATACACTTTTGCAGATACTGCTTGCTACTCAGTAACACCTTTTCCATTTCTGCCTTTGACATTTTGTCCGTGTTCAATTCCTCCCTCAGTTCTCATCTCTATTGAGATTAATTACACTGATTTTGATCATTTTACTTGCAATCCTTCTCACTTGTCAATGTACCTGTGTTGTATTTGCCATGAAAAAAAAAAAAAACAAATTCAAAACAAAACTCCCCATGAGTTCACAACATCCCTAACAGTGAATTATCTAAACTTAGCTTTGAAATCAGTTTTTCAATCAGCTGTACACAGATCTCACGGAAATTATTTTTGACCACATTTCAGTCCTTGCTTTTAACAACATCAACCCAGACAATGGCAGAAATCCTGTAAAACTCAAGAAAAATCACTTAGATTCCATCCTCATTAGAAGTTTGGTCCTGATTGTTAATAAACCAAAGTAGGCCATCTTCTGTTCACACGTCGTTTTTAATTGTCTTCTACTTACTGACAGTCTTCTCCCAAGTCACCTCCCCATCATCTTCCAGGGGATAAAAACTAGGTTCACTGGTCTCTGACTTCCTCACATCATCTGTTCCCACTCTTGAAAAATAAAATAAAATCCTAGGTTTGAACTTTTCCAGGCCTCAAAGGTGCATCCAGTTTGGGCAAATACTTAGAATAACCTCCTACACTTCAGAAAACACTTCAGCTAATGCCCTATGTGTACTAGGATGATTTTTATGAGCTTTCACTGACTCTCTCACCTAGTTTGCCCCCTTTATTTTTTTATATTACTATTCTTACTGCATTCCCATGGTACTGTTACACACAGTAGTAGAAAGTGCCTGACTACAACTTTTACTTCAAAACTGAACAAAGGCAACACTACTCCAGACTTTTTGCAACACACATGAATTAGTCTGTTTTTCTTATTCATTCTAATGGAAAGGGATTTCATACCTTAGATTGCATGACTTTTATACTCATTCTATTCATTTTTTTACCTCATAAGCTCTTCACTGCTCTCATTTTCTTTGTAAAGGCCTTAAAACAACAAAGGGCTGCAAAGATCTCAAGATCTAATCAGAAGCCAGCCCCTTACCATGCGTACTATTTCTATTCAGGTGAAAGAATAAATAAGAATATTTAACGTTCAATTATTAATTTAATATTTAATAATAATAGTAAATGCTCAGAAGCAACATATTTCAGCAACAACCAGCTCTCCAGTATATTTGTCCAAATTAAGTATAATTATCCATTATATTTATTATTCTCTCAAAACCCTTTTGAACACCTGTTACTTTTACTCTGCCTGTATTATGCTGTTTTAAGTCTCTCTGAGGTAATGGCTTAAACCTTCCAGTGTAAGGACCACAAATACATTTATTACTGAAAACAATGTGAGCAGTCAGACATCAAGAAGTATATTAACAGTTTTTAATATTTGCATGTACACACGCCCCTAGTTATTCAAAAATATAAATATTAGTGAAAGCATATTTAAAATACATTTTTAAGGAAAGGCAAGCTTCCAGGACTATTAGGTCTTAAGCATTGATATTGATTACCCGCAGTGTTTACCCACACAGCAAGCAGAGGACGGATGCAGCCTGACAAGCCCGGCTGCTCTCACTGCGGCCGCCCCGGCTTTTTGTTTTCTTTAACGAGGGCTTCCATTTATTAATTAATTAATTACCACATCCCCGGACCGCGGTGCCGCGCTCCACTCACCTCCTCAGGGCTCCCTTCCCGGGCGCTCACCGAGAAGCCGCCAGCCCCGGGGGCAGCCCGGGGACCGAGGAGGAGGAGGAGGAGGAGGAGGAGGAGGAGGAAGGGCCTGAGGGGGCACTGAGAGGGGCGCGGAGCCTCTCCGCGGGCTCCCCCTGGGCTCCTCCTCCGCCGGCGCTGTGACCGTTCAACGGCCGCGCACGCGCAGAGCCCAGCGTGGCGCGCGAGCTCGGTTTAAACCACGGCGGGGTTCGGCTGGGTTCGGCACTGCTCGGCACGGTTCGGCTGGGTTCGGCACAGCTCGCCTGGGTTCGGCAGCGTTCGGCAGGGCTCGGCTGGGTTCGGCAGGGCTCGGCTCGCCGCCCGCCAGCGGTCAGGGGAGCGAGAGAGCGGAGCGGCGTCCCGCGCCGATGACGTCAGCACCCCGCCCGCCGAGCCCCGTCTCCGCGGCGCGTTGCGGCGCAGGCCCCGCCCTGTGGGGGCGGCGGCCATCTTGGCCGGGCGGCGCGGCGCGGAGCGGAGCACGTTGCGCTGGGCTCGGCCGCCCTGCCCCGGCCCCGGCCCCGGCCCCGGCCCCGGGGGCGCCTCACGGCCCCCAGCCTCGGTAAGCGGCCCCGGGGGGGCGTGGGGACGCGGCGAGGGGTGCCCCGTGCTGTTACAGGGGGTGGGGGGGGAGCGGGGGAGCCGTTGTGGCAGCCGGGCCTCGTCCCCACACGGTGGCAGCCAGCTGGGCCCGGCCGCCGCCTGAGGGAGCCGAGGCCCGGCACGGGCACGGGCGGGCTCCGCAGCTCCTCAAGGCTCCTTGCTGGCAGCTGGGGGTTGGTTTTTGGCTGCCGTGTGGCAGCAGAGACAAACCGGAGGCTGCAAGAGCTGCCTGCGTGGAGAGAGAGGCCCCAACGGCCGGGAGGAGAGGAGGGATGCGGGGGCTTCTTTATTTTGATTTATTTTTTTCCTGGGGAGGTTCTCTGCGCTAAAGGAGAAAGCCGTGCTTTACATCGTTTTCAGAAAGTTAGCACGTGGTGGAGAGATTAAGACTTATTTAAGGGCTGGCAAGGGAGTGGGGTTTTCACGAGGTAAGTGTTAATAAACGGATAACCCCCCCCGCCCCTCAAAAAAAAAAACAAAAAACAGGTAGGGCCTTTCCTGGGGGCCACGGTAGCGTTGTCTCTCAGGAGTGCACCTCGTTACTTCTCCTGCAACTTTCTGTGACTGCCTGCAAGTCCTAACTTCAGTTTCTCCGCTGTGGTTTCCTAGGTCGAAAAACCAAATCCTGCTGTAATTTTCATGTGGCTTGCTGCCAGTTTTGGGGCTTATTCTCCGGCCTTTCATTTCACGTTAAAAGAAAATATTAAAGATTGAATGATAAGTAATGCCATTCAGCACCAGCTGAACACACCCACGCGTAATGCTGCGTCAGTGTATTTGAGCATATGCTTTTCATGTTAACGTTGCATTTATTTTCATGTTCGTGTTGTGCCTCATGAGCAATACAAGCTAAGTACAGTCATTAGATTTCAGACTTGTTTAAAGCTCTTGTACAACATCTTTTCAGTCTCTAAAACAAATGTCAAAGCCTCAAGCATAGACTCGTTCTTAATTTCCTAGTAGATCTTGCTTGTAGCAGTGCCACAGTACTACTATTTCTGCTTTGACACTTATAAATTTACTGATCTCCCATGTGCAGCTTGAAAGGCTGTTTTCTTGTTGTGTTTCATTTAAATTTCCTGTGGATATTCTACCTTTTTTGTTCTTGTGGAGTCACTATATGTAGCCCATTACCAATGGATTGAGAGAGAATTCTTGAGATAAATGAGTTTCGGAGGATACTACTCATCCTTATTTCTTTTCTCTGTACTTAGTTTAGATCAGGTGCAGTGTAGTTTAATAAAACATTATTTCTGCAAAGTAACTGAAGTGTGACTCAGTTCTCAACACAGCCTTCCTTCACCACATTTAATTGAATCATCTCTGGGTTTTCAGTCTTCATTTACAATTTTTGTTCATGTTTGTATGCTTAATTCTGAGTAATTCAAAGCAATTGCAAATCCTTCTCTGTCATTATTGACTTGGTTCAATAACTTTTTGTATAAACTCTAATGCCTTTGAGAGAATAAATATTGGTGTTTCTTCAGGCAAGTACATTTAATGTCCAACCTGTAGAAGAAATTTCTGTTGCCTTTTGTAGCAGGATAGAGTGGTCTTCTTTTGTGTCTTAGACATGACTTAGTGGTTGTACAAGTGTCGTAATTGGACTTACTGGGCAGCTTTAGGCTTCAATAAATGATACTGACAAAGCATTTATCACTTCTGTTGTTAGCAGTTGTTACTCTTCCTCTCATCCTTTTACCAGTGTCTCTAGTCCGTTGTTCTAGAAACATTACCACTTGTCTCTCCATTAGAATTCGTTGATCCAAAATAATGTATCGCTCTGTAGTTAGCAACAAATTAATGGTTTCCTGACTTTGTCTTCAGTTCTTCTTGATTTGGAAAGCAGAAATACAGGTATGAGCTGTATAAATGCTTCTGAATACCAGTTCCTCCTGCTGACTGTACCTAGCAATTACTGCTATTTTGTATTGGAGCATATACATCTTGTTCATGATGTTGACCTGTGTTCTGAGAGGTCTGCTGTCTGCACCATGAAATCAGACAGTCATATTCAGTGTGTTCAATTAAGTGCCACCGAAGTAACTGCATATAAATATGTAGTTTGAGCTCAGTCTGCTTTTGGACATTTGTTTAATTTGCTCTAAATTGTCAATTCTATCAATTTTTTTTTCTCTTGTGGACAATTATCATCATAGACATCAGGACAGTCGTGGAAATATTGCAGAAGTGACAGAAATTAAAAAGTAAAAAAAAAAAAATAGAAGTTAGCTTTCTGACAATGATTTAAGACCACTGGAGAATTTTGGATAAGCTGACGCTTCGTCATGTAGATGGGAGCAGCAATGCATGATCCCACACCTCCGTACTGGTTCTGTAGTTCTGTCTCTTTGAATGCTTGCTACAATTACATCTTTGACTGTTAGACATCCAAAATCTTCATCACAGATAAGGTTATTTTCCCATATAATTAAGCTCCAGGAAAAGAAATCCATGGGCTGTTTGGTTACTCTAGGAACCAAGGTCTGATTCAGCAATGGATGGCAGTGAAAACTTTTGTCTGTTTATGCCACTGAGATTGGCTGCAAAGCTTGTTGAAGTAGGTGGCAAAACCAATTTGTTCCAAGCTGTGTTTGGCTTCGTCTTTTAGAGTGACCAACCCCGTTTTCCTCCTGTGTTGCTTTAAGCCAAGCAACAGGAGGGAAGGGTGGTGGAGAAGTGAAGCTGTCTGGTCTGTTATCTGTGCTGCTCAGGCACTAGTTTGGGAGATTGGGTAGGGTACAGCAGCTTTGTTTGCTAGAGCTTCCTTTTGGAACCCATAGAAATAGCCTGTATGCTAGTTAGAGCCAAGATGACTAGCAAGGAAAGTCCTGCCCAGAAGATGTTACAGTCCGCCTGCTCGAGGTCCTCAGCCACACAGGCCGTGTTGGAGCAAGGGCTTGCCATGCACTTTATCTGGGAAACCAAAGAGAGCGAGTGATTCACCTCCAGGTACTCTGTGTGCTGCACAGGGCTTCTGTGAAGGGCACTAGGACGTGTTTCTGAAGAACGTATTTTTGCCTTATTTGAAACGCTGTCAAAATCCATTATTTCCATCTTCTAGAAAATTACCCTGGGTCAAGCATCCTTGCAGATCTTAAGTTTCTTGTTTGCAATTGTAAGAAAAATGTATTAAAGTGAGAATTGCAAACCCATTGCTCCATGTCTGCAATGAATGTACTAACCACTGGACTATGGAGTTGATCAGTTTCTCTCTTACTGGCATGGACTATGGATACAATCACAATGCTTGCTCTGCCCTATTTTGTCAGTGTGGTCTAATGATATGATACTAAAACATATTTTTAAAAAGCGACAGTCAGTTTTAATAACACCAATGATGTTATTGAGACTTATTGTCTATTTGTAAAAGGTTGTGGATTCAAGAAAAAAATAGAAATATTAAAAGTAGAAACTGCCGTGATAAATTTGGAGGCGTGACTTGGATTGCATTCGTTTATATCTGACAGGTTATCTTTAGGCATTGATTTAAAAGTACTTGGGAAATTGAGAAGAGAAATAAGACCACCAGGATTAAAAGGAAGTACTGAAATACTCATCGTAGGAACAATTGATTTAAAAACCCAATAACATCCTCATAATACATATGCCATACACCTGTTGTTTTTGCTTCTTTTAGGATATTGAAGTCACAACCTTTTTTTATATAATATCCATATGTAGTAAGTAACCTGTAAAGGTTTAGTTCAGTGGGCAAAGATGAACTGGACGTCCAATACATGATACTTTGCTTGATTGTAAGTGTTGAAATCTTTTTCTTGGAAGCAAGTCCATGTGCAGATTGTGTGGAAACTGGAAGTATTTCAGGACTCCCTGACGTTACGTCTTTGAACCACTAATATGTATTGCATAGAGTCAAGATAATTCCCTTTTTACTATGGCATGCTTTTCTTGGAAACAAACGTTCTCAGATGTAATCATGATTTTATTTTGCTGTGGAGAAAAAGGAATGGAATTGGAAGGTAATGTTGAAGATTGTGCAGGGTTTTTTTGTATAGCAGTACCCTCAGCACTTGTATCTGAGTTTTCTTGTTTGGAAACTGTCTTGGGAGAGAAAACAGTAATCTTGCTTTTTTTTTTTTTGCCTCTGAACTCTACCGGTAATAACTTCAGATACATAACTTCAGATATTTCCTGTGCTGTTAGTAATAATGTCCTATCTGGTTTTTGTTTTTCCTTAAGATCTGCAAGACTCCCAGAACTCCTCCTCGTAATTGGTGTATGTGGGTAACCTTAAACTGCGCATCATGGCGGACAAATTAACGAGAATTGCTATTGTCAACCATGACAAGTGTAAGCCAAAGAAATGCCGTCAAGAATGCAAAAAGAGTTGTCCTGTGGTTCGAATGGGTAAGAGATGTAATTTAACCAAGTATGTAAGCATTTGGAGAAGTCCACAGTAATGTTCAGCTGGAAGGGGTTGCTATTTTTTATATATAACTATTTTTTGTTTGTCATTCACACGTTCTTTTTATGAAGACCTTAGAAGTTGAATATAATTGAAATCATGAGCAATTGGTAGCAGTAATTCCACTTTTCAGATTGTCAGTAGCTATTCATGACTATTATAGTCAGCTTCAATGACTATTCATAAAATCATTGAATCACAGAATGGTTTGGGTTGGAAGGGCCCTTAAAGATCACCTAGTTCCAGCCCCCTGCCATGGGCAGGGACACTTCCCACCAGACCAGGTTGCCCAGAGTCCCATCCAACTTGGCCT